AAGGGGGATTTGTTGGGTTTTCCCTATGTAATAATATTGATAACAGTAAGGTCTAGACCTTACTCTGTAAAGTGTCCTGAGATGACTTTTGTTGTGATTTGGCGCTATACAAATAAAATTTGATTTGATTTGAAACTGAAGCTAAATAGCATTCAGGAATCATTTATTATATATCGCTACATTTCCTATTGTGCCGTGTCAAATATCACTAGTTTTTCTGTCACACTTTATTTAAATATCTTAAAAAAAAAAAAAAAAAAAAGAAACTTCTTTTGCCATTTTTCAGGGATAATGGAAACTGTGCAAGGTGGGTGGGATCATAAAACCCTCAAATGGGAGTTTCCTTAGGAATTTTAATTGGTCTTAATTGCTCTACTGTGTCTCTCAACCAGAATTTTCATCCCACAGCAAACAGGTCAGAGGATTTGTACTACAGACAGGACAAAAAGGGTAGGTCACTGTAATAGTTTGCTATTGATGAGTGTTAGCAAATGCTGTTTATAAAGTTTATTTGCTGAGTTTGTTTTTTTTTTAACTGGTACATTGACTGTAGACAGTGTGTCTAAACTGCCCTTGAGCATTAATACACGACAGGCAGACAAATTGTATGTAACAAGAGTGATTGACTTGTCTCCACCACTTCTATCAGACAAGAAGAGTGCCTGCACCGCTACACTTTTTCCTTTTTAAAAATCACAAACTGGATACAATGGAAGTGAAAGTGTCTGTGGACAGCGTCCCACGTGTGGTCTGTGGAGTTACAGAGGAAACAACATGTCAAGTTGTGGTCATAGCATTGGCTCAAGCCTTGAGTATGTATATCTGTGGCTGTACTTTGTAGTACAATTTCAGTTCTGATGCAGACCAACCTGATGATAACCACAGTCATCCTTCTCTCTAGGTCAGCCTGGACGCTACACATTGCGGGAAAAATTTAAAGACTTTGAGCGGTGCATGATGCCCAATGAACACCTCTTAGAGACTCTTCAGAAGTATGGTGAGCAAGCCAGAGAGGTCCAACTCACACTGATCCACAATGGACCTTCTGACTGGGATGAAATGAAAAGAGCAAAAGTTGGCAGATACCAGCCCTGTCCACCACCGAGAAGATGCAGGAGCTAGAGTGTGGCGAAGCAGCGGTTCACTGAGTTTGCATTGCCAAAGCTTGCCACCTTTGTCATGTTCCAGACAAGAAGCTGAGCAGCAAAAGGAAGACCAGAAAAGGCCTAAAAGGAAGTCTCTCACCTTTGTGGAGGAAGCTTGGGAATGGCTGGAGAATCTGGGGAAAGGCAGGGTCTACAGTACTACCTGTGATAAGGAAAGCAGTAAGAGGAGCGATAAAAGAAACCATCTCTCTTTGGATGGTTCTCTCTGTGTTGACAAAGATAACTCAGGGCAAAGTAGTAGAAGCAAAGGCAGAGGGCAGAAAAGTTTCATGTCAGACTTGGACCAGCAAACATCTTGCTGCATGGGAAGTCAGATGAGGGGTAAAGAAAGCAAACACTGCAAGAAAAGTCAAGAGGCACAAGCTGATGACCTGTGCAGTGCAAGCTGCACTACAGCTGAAGATGAGAAAAACCATCTTAGAGAAACTATACTATGTCAGATTGGTTGTTTGCAGGATTTGCAGGTCCAGATACCATGCATAGACAAACAGATTTTGGAGCTTGAGGAAAAACAAAGGACCAAGAAATCTGAGCAGGAAGCCCAGCAGAGAATAGTTGAAGAGGAGATGGAGCAAATCAAGTTTTGGGAAAATGAATTAAAGGCAGAGGAAGGTTATGAGGAAGACTTGCAATGTCAATTCCTTGAGATGAGGGCAAAGGTAGTTGAGTGCAAGGCTGAACTGGAGGAATACAAGCACAAAATGCAGGGGGGTTGATTTCCTTGGTGCTCAAAACATTGTTCAAGGGTGGTTTCAAAAGTTGGTGCAAATGCTGCCGAGTTTTCAGCCGTTTTAAATGAGGTTCTAAATCAGCCACAATCTGCTTCAGACAGGAATGCAAACATTAACAGGAAGTTCCTGCCCACAGTCATTAAGCCACCTCATGTTCTAGCTCCTCCCAACCAGATGAAAGAGAGGCAGCCCACACAACCCTCTGAGCTGAGGGAGTGCTGGACATGCTGGTCTGAAGCCCAGAGCTCCCAATCACACACAAAACAAGGTGATTCACCGCTCTGAACTTACTATATATATATCTAGGTAGTACCAAGGTTTAGAATCAAATCAATAAATCAGTCAATTATGTACTTCAGTTATACCAGTTTCACTCATTACAATGCATGGCACAGATCCTGGGTATTTGAAACTCCTGTGCTGCATTCATTAACAGTCTCTTAATGCATGGTGACTAAACGGGCTCTGTATCAGAAGTGGTCCCCCGCCAGGAAACGAGCAAACGATCAGATGGACAATGGATGATGCATTTTACTGTTCTCTGTAACCTTAGAGTTTGTGCACTTCAGAGATAGTGCAGGTATTCACTTAAAGGGGCTGGACTGGACACTAATCATTGTCCTGAACTTCACCTGCTATGAGGTCAAAGTTGTTACTGCTCCTCACTGATTCTGCCAAGTTTCAACTATGCATATATACCTTCTGTTTTAGTTACAATAACTTACCCTTTCATTATGGAGAGTGTAAAAATGTTGATTCATTGCTGTCTTTTGAGTATAGTGCCTTTCAAACTTTCCTAACTTCTTCCTTTTTTAATGTAGCAGACTGTGTCTTTGAAATAAGACAAACAGCTCATAAATTTCATAAAATTTTATTTCATTGTTTCATTCAAGACCATTAACAAAAGTACATGAGAACCTTTGTACATGGTTCAACTGAAACCCGGTGACTTCCAAAGTTGAAACTGAGTTTGTAATTTAATGTGCAGAGGCACAACAGCTCATCCACCGTGTCTCAAGAGCGCAACAGATAAATCCTGAATCTTAATGCTCTTTTTAAAACTGAATTTCTAACACATCACCTTTCTCCTTTAAGTTAAATTTGTCTCATTATATCTGAAGTTTGAGTTTCCACCAAAAAAAAAAAAAAAAAAAAAAAAAAAAAAAAAGCACACATTACATACAGTATAATTCAACCCTTGTTTGGGATGCATATCAGTATTATTTCTACTTGAAAAGAAAGCCACCCTAAGATTGAATATTTTGCCAGTGGGCTGGGAACAGTACAGCTATTTTTTGTTGCCACACCGCCTTTCATTTTGCTTGTTGTTTTAGGCACCTTATTCTTAATTCAGTATTAGCAGATTGAGTTTCAGTGGGGAAAAAGCAAAAGATATGTGCAAGGGGAGAAAAAAAAAATACAAAAAGAACTGTGGATATAAGATGCCACAAGGAATTCTGCACCTGGGAAAGTTGCTTAAGTGGAGCATGTGAATACCAAAATGGTATCTAAAGGCTCCAGATTGGTAAAAGTAAATCCCATTAGATTAGCTACTTTGAAATTCACATCACACACATACACCATGCTTTCATGCCAGTTCTTCAAATAAAGCATCTCAAAACTGCTCGAAAAACAGAGCAGAGAAGTATCCTCAGTTTAAGCTTGCACATGTGAGAAATATGATCCTCCTTATGGAGGGAACTTTGCTTTATGTGTTTTGTAGGACAGCATACAATAGAAATTTGATAATGAAACCATTTCAAAAGTTTCCATGAGGAAAGGAGCAGATATGAGAAAAAAACAAAACAAAAAACAAACAGAAGAAAGCTCAGAGACATGCCAACACACTCATTCACCCAGACAAGCTACTGGACTGATGACAGGTGCAGAATTCCAGACAAAGCAGATTCAAAAGACTGCAGGGACACAGACAACCACACACAGTCATCACTCTGATTTGGAGAGACAACGCCCTCAGAAACAAATAGCTCCATTATATACTATAATCACTTCTAGATACGTCACACATGCACACACAGATCCCATGTACACTGCAGTGTAGAGCTCTTTACATCACACATTGGAGGCAGGAAACTGTGGAACAGAAAATGTTCCCTTGCAGGTATTGATGGGGGAGGGGGTGGATTACATTCCCAATTACTGTATGTTTGCGTGCAGTTTGCGTATGAGCTTGTGTGTACAAGCATGTGTCATATGACATTGCCTTATCCCCTGCTGTTGCCCTTTGGGACATCTCACCAAAACCAAATAGGGTGACGACTCTATACTGCTCAGTCGATGACACCAGGCTGACGAGTCTTGCGTTCCACACTGAAGCCCTGTACGAGAGGACAGACTTTATTAATGTCGACACTTGTGGGAAAAGTCAATAACCTGATCTGATTCCAAGTAACTTCTAACTTTGGATGTACTAGGCAATTGTGCCCAATGCTGAAAATCAATGTGCAAGACTGCATATGGCAACATATTACTGAAATGCGATTTAGCCTTAATTGGTGAAGGGCCTTGATTTCCCCCCAGGTACTTCATTCTGCATATAATCCAGTGAAATCATCATGATTCATAGTATATGCATCGATAGTCAGTTGAAGTTTGTATTCAGAATATTTAATAAAAAAAACTTGAATCAATTCTGAAGCTATTATTCCCTTAGTCAGTGAAAGTACATATCAGCTCAAAGTACAATGACTACAGACAGTGTGGCAACAGCCCAGGTACCTTCGAATTGTCAGGCCCACGGGGCTGTCTTACAATGACCAGGCGAGGAGCACTGGCATCATCAAGAGTGATGCTCTTCAGTCGGTTCACCAGACGGTCAGGACGGGGAGTTGCCACTGGTTTAGGCCCCTCGCTAAGGTGTTTGAAAAGGTGTTCATTAAAGATCAGAGCAAAAATGTTCTTCTTAGTTGGCTGATAAATGTGATTTAACTGAAATACCCACCTGACTCTGCGTACATTGCAGGCACTACACTTTCCTGTGCGTTGATTGAGGACAACTGAGAACTCTACCTCGTCCCCAGACTGGAGCTCCAGGCCGTCTTGCACTTCTTTTACGTGGAAGAACAGCTTCTTGCTCTCACCGACTTCATATGTGATGAAGCCAAACTGGGATCAACAAAACAATTCAGGAATTAAGCAGCATTTTACTCCAATTTAATCTGTGCTGTAAGGACTAGCTTTGAATATGAAGTTTGTTGTATGATTCAACATGTTCCACACAATAAATAAAACAAACAAATAACAGATTCCTACCTGGTCTTTGACACATTCCACCATGGCTCTACGCTGAGGGACTATATTGCAAGCCATTTTCTGCCCAGTCTGGGCTACTGTGCAAACTTGAAACTTCACAAGTTCTCCTTTCTGCAGGCAATCTGCCTTGTTTGACATACCCATGATTCCAAAGGGATAACTCTGGGCTTTAGTTCCACCTGAAACAACCAACACAGAGGACATTTTAGTCATGAAAACAGTATGCTTTAAAAGCTGGGTCTCCAAGTCCCATCAGACTTGACACCAACCTTCTTCTGCGACTTCAATAAGCCCTTGGTATTCTGTCTGGGAGGGGTCCACACTGCGTAAAGGACGAATGACTTTCCCCATCATCACTGTGGCACCAACATCCTCACCAATGGCATTCACTGAAAGTAGAAAACAGTAAATTGCACATGCCTTTTATATACAGAGATAAACTGCAGAGTGAAAAGAAAATATCTATAACTACAATGTTCATACCTGCAGCCACTTTGGTAACCTTTTCAGCACTGACTTTGTTTCCTTTTCCTTTAGAGAGTGTATACTCCACTGTGTCACCCAGCTCCAAGCTCTCCAAGTCTCCACACATTTCACTAAATAGGAAACAGAAATATACTGGAGTTTGATATGAAGAAACAGATGTTTGGAAATCTTTAATAAATCAGAAACTAACTTATCCAAATGTTAGAATTAAAACCTCTACCTATAATGAAAGAAAATCTCTTGGTCATGATTTGCTGTCTCAATAAAACCAAAATTGTCCTTGAGTGTGGCAACGAATCCATGCAGTCTCTTGGCATTGGAAGTGTTACGATTAAGGACCCTGATAGAGACTGCACTCTGCTGGCCAGTTCGCTTCACTTCATTAATGGAGAACTCCACCTAGAGGACAATCATTCAAAGTCACATACAGGAAAGTCCTTTGACAATCTTCATTTAATCTAAAGAAAAAGTTACTAAGTGCAACGTCACTCATACCTTGTCTCCAACCTGCGGATAACTTCCTCCCTCCAGATCCTTGTTATGGTATGGCACAGTTAGCTTCACTCCACAGTCTTCATATGCAATCACTCCTTCGTCAGACTCCTACACAGAAGGCAACAAATCAAACCTACATTATTATTTGAATAATGAGCATCAGTAATGCTTGATCCAGATGGTCCCAGCCAAGGTCAAGTGTCTCATATGACCCAATCTGACAATCAAAAAGCATGTACTATATTACAAGCTGGTGTACAATTAGCTTATGCAAGTGTATAAAAGGCACGAGTGTTAGCAATGCACCACTCTGTAGCAGCATAGTTGGTTAGCATTAGCCTAGTCTACTGCCAACAGCTCTGAGTTACAGCCTGCTATGGAGGGCTGTAAAATTTACCACAACTACTGTAGCTTCAAGTACTGGGAATAGTTCTGCACTAGAGTTTATTCTCAGCTATTCACTATAACTGCCTGAAACATGCACAGTATGCAATTTACTGGCACTGCTAGACATTACAGTAAGTATGAACAAAAGCAAGAGGAAAAAGGTAACTAAGCTTGTTAGGCTGTGTGATCACGTTATATAGGACAGACTACTTTACACTTCATAATGTTCTTGCAACTGAAATTATGACCGTTAATCTATAATTCTTTTGAGTGCAAAGACATTCAGCTATCTTAAACACAAATAACTACTCCAGGTGATATTTCTATCATTTAGGGAGGACCAACAAAAAAGACTGAAGGACAATATGCCCTTCTGCTGTGTGTATTGTACAGCATTAATTACTAAAGACAGTAAACCATAAACAGCAACTAACTAAATTCATTGGGATTAGTGTTGTATTACTAATTGTGCAGCCCTACTGTTAATTGAATCAATGCATTGTTTCAATTTATGTTTCTAAGGGTTAATTTGGTAATCAAATATATCAAAGAAGGCAATCAGCAGGTCAGAGGCTTACAAAGACCAACCTTTTCTACAACTTTAACCTTGGGGGTAGGAGAAAAAATAAAAATAAGAGGCATCTATCAGACAGCATGACTTGTAAATATCATACTAGAAACAATTCTTATACTGCTTTGTCAATGTTGACTTTTAGACTTGCCATGTAAGATCTAGAGAACAAGTAATTATTTCTTAGACTAAAGGTTAGTGAAATGTAAAAACTACTAGTATTACTTGAACTCTTTATTTGAGACATTCATGCCGTTTCATGCAAAAGATCTGTCCTACCTTGTCTTTTTTCTAATCAACAAGGAACGAGAACAGGAAGAGGTCATTGGGAGGAAAGCAAAAAGGAAAGTTAGAACTAAAACAAAACAAAACAAAAATAAATTGGGAATAGGGACTGAAGAGGTGGGTTGGAAAGAACTACAAGGCTATTGTTTGAGTGTACTGGGGGTAGATTCATGAGCACTTATACTGGACATAATTAAGCACTAGTGTACCTTCTCCTTGCTCTTGGTGGGACTGTTATTTTTACTGGTAACCCCTGGAACTTCCTTCTCCACTATGCCCATGAAGCGCTGCTCAGACTGGGTATGGAAAGACACCGTGCCCTTGGGCAGCTTCTTGATGCGCACTGCATGGTTCCTCTGAGCTGACAGCATATCCTGGTAACAAGAGAACATTTACTTTAATCTGTTAATAACAAATAATTGGAATGCCCTTGATTAATAACATATTTCTGTCATATGCCTATAAAGAGGACCTACAGGCACAACAGTGAACTCCACTTCATCCGAGATGTGCAGTTGGCTCTCCTCCAGTACTTCACTGAAGTGAAAGAACATCCTGGCATCCCGATCCACACACTTAATGAAGCCAAAGCCATCACGTATAGCTGCAATCACCCCCTAGGAGGAGATTTGGTGACAAAGATTCTGTGTCTGAGTAAGGCTCACTTCAATAAATGTGGATGTCTCTTCCAAACAGCCATTTCTTTCAGCTATAAACTAATGCACTACATAACTAATCATGTTTTATTGTTTTGTAACCCACCATTTCACGGGTCTCCTTAGTGAAGCTGAAAGTGTCTGGGAGGATGTCTATGTTGGTAGCCCTCTCCAGCTTGTCTCTGCGGTCGGTGGAAATGTTGAACTGGATGTGATCTCCCTCCAAAAGGGTCACCTTGGACTTTGTGTCCTTCTCACCAAATGGCAGTTCCTTGTCAGTAAAACCAATGCGGGCACTGATACGACCTGGAAGAGGGTCGTTCTGAGGAAGCAGAAAAGATGAAGAAAGGAATGAGAGATTTGTCAAAGTAGTGGTCAGTGGATCACAGCTCCACATCTGCCTTTCCAGCCAAATCCTCTTCAAACAGATCTGAATTCAACTTTCCAGACTTGTACTCTACTTGCCTGGTTTTTGGTGGGAACCTTGGGAATGACCTTGACAACAGTGCCTTCAAACTGCTCAATGCTGATATCTTCAAAGATGACTGTTCCTTGAGGAAGCAGCCTCACATCTGTGGCTACTTCTTTACCCTACAGCCACAAAAGCACAGAACAGTGTTCTATACATATTCAGACAAGAGTAGCTGGTGTCAACGGCAGTCAAAAAAAAAATTGATCTGCTGAAAATTCAATAGTCGGGTATTTGTGGATGATACAGTTCAAAACTTTAAACACCTACATTTCTGTCTTTGATAGTGAACTCAACATCATCTCCAGCCTGCAGAGCCTCCAGATCACCCTTGAATTCGCTGTAGTGAAAGAAGATCTCCTTCACCACATCAGCTCTCTCAATGAATCCAAAGGCCTCCTGAAAGACAACACATGGTTCAATATAAAAGATCCAGGGCTTCTATCAAGAGTTTAGTGGGGTAGCATTCTTACTAGTGTGTTTTGTCTTACTCTTACATCCCATAAATATTTGCCCTCCACTACAGTGACTGATGTTTGTAACCAACAGGCTGTTTATTCATTCCTCTGCTGAAGGGGTCGGGTGTCTGTTTGCTCAGCCAAAAATCTGAAGTTCATTCAGCTTTTGAGGTAAAACTCTGTTAGACCATATATCGGTTGTGGATTAGAGGTGTCTCTGAAGGAGGAGACTGGTTTGTTTTTAGCTTGTTTTGCAAATGAGAGTGGCCACATCAGTAAAACCTAAGTTGACAGCTACTTTTAACAGCTATTCTAGATGATGCACTTAGTTTAGCAAAGTTAACTATCACAAAGATAACCATATTATGACTAATTTGCTTAATAATAACGGTTCAAGCAATGCATCAGTGGCCCTTACCTTTGTAGCACACACCACACCCTGGCACCTTGTTTGCTTTTTCTTCACAAGCTGAATGTTACGAGCACTGACTGCACCAGTACTGAAATACAAGAGTGATAAATACAAAATCGATTTCAAGCTGGGATTCATTAAGATTATAGTGACAGGGTGTGAACACTTACTGCTTGTTGGTCTCCATGTAAAAGCTGACTTTGTCACCTGTTTCCAGATGGATATTACCCTCCACATCATCAGGAGTGTAGGTAAGGTAGAACACCTCCTGTGCAAAGTCACACCACTGTCAAACTTTATTGAAGGATTTGAGACACAAACCATTTCACATTTGAGATCAGCCAAAAATTAAGAGTGCATACAAGCAGCTGGCAGTTAATTAGGGACATTAGCCTAGCTAAAACTAATGCAACAGTCTGGAAATAAATCCCACCTTTCATGGAGGTGATATGGGTCAGTTCTTGATCAATCTGTTTAAGAGAGGTGTTGATTCAATTATCTGATCACTATGGAGACTTCAATATGTATAATGCACTGCAGTTCAACAGCAGCACAGAGACAATTATTATTTGGCCTAGCCCCAGTCTAAATATTATCTTTTATAATGCAATAAAATTGAACAGCACCAAAAATTCTAGAATTATCAGTTGTATTAGTCGCTCTTGAAAGTCCGAACAAAAATTATACATCACTTTCATATAGGCTGGATTTGCTGCAGCATGGTTGTATTAAAATAGTTTAAGTTTTAGCTAGGCATACCTAATATACTGCCAACTGAGCATATGAAAGGCAGACAGCCATGTGACTGTGGAGGCTGGAGATTTTATGTTTACCCAGTCATTGCCCAACCACAGTATATGGTTGCATATCAACATATCTCAAAGCACAACAGGGAAACAGGCTAAGACATTTAGCAAAGCCAAGTTAAGCATGAACAAGTAATTGTTTGTACAAAATCTTTGAGTGGAAGGATGAAACTAAATACTTTAACATTCTGCTGTAAATACATGTCCCTTCTTACCCCATTTCTTTCATAACAAACACTGCCAGTAGGCACTTGGCCAGGAGCAGACTTTCCATCTAAGTGCACTGGAATAGCTGAGACAACCTAGAGGGAAGGGGAAATTGTATTAACACACTGCTTTGCCAATCGTACATGGCCCAACTAAAACACACGATGGATAAAATGGCCGAATTTCAAGTGTCAGAGTAACAAGTATCAGTGTCCAAAGATGGAGTGCCATCCACAAGTTAGCAGAACGGCATGTGGAAGCCATAAACACTTTTAAGCCTCCTAAGGACCTCTACCACGATTATTTGACCTGATTAAGCAAATCAGTGACTGAATGAATCAGTACAAGCGTGCAGCTTTACGGTTTCACATTGTACTACAGTTAGATTTTTGACACTATAAGCAGTGGTGCTACTTGCATGTTATGAGCTGTGCATGATGAGCAGAGCAAATCAGTTTGGTATAACACACCTCTACCTTCCCCCACTGACTTCAACTTAATGTTGTTTAAGCCAGGCTCATTGACTCGTCACAGTCATGTACCAGAAGGGTAAACAACTAATTGTAGTTTCAGTATACATAGAAGTCAATTATACCCCTGCGCAATTACATTAATCACTTGACCATATTTGTCTACCCGACATTGAACACCTTCAGCCAACATGTATTCCAGCAACAACAAACCAATATGAGATTCAAATGTATTGCAGATCTTTTTTTTTTTTTTAGGGTGCAGTATTAAAGGGGATAAAATTTTACTATGCACTTACAATAAAGAAAAAAAACCCACCACAAAACATACAATGGACCATATAAAGTTAAGTTAAACAAGGACAGAACCAAAAATAAAACGGTGTTCCTTAACTGGATGAATATAACCATGCAGCACAGTAAAGGGATAGGCGTGCAGGTCTGGCCCCACCTGGCCCGAGATGCGTTCCTCTGGCAGCACCTCTGGCTTTATCTTTAGCAGCTTCACTGCTATGGGCTTGCCAGTGCGCCTGTCAGAGGATACCTCAAACTCTACATCATCTGATGGCAGCGGAGGAGGAGAAAACCAAGAAGGACAACTTAAGTTTCAATAATGTAGCTTGCCTTTTTGATAAGTGATTAACTACAGGTTGAGTATTTGCAATTTGTACAAAAGCCCAAGGCCTCTCACCTCCTATTTTTAGCTCCTGCAAGTTGCCATTGTACTGGGAGCAGTGGAAGAAGAGGCGAGCCTGACGCTCCGAGCACTGGATGAATCCATATGAAGTCAGGAGCTTCTCAACCACACCAGTCTCTCTAATTCCAGGCCCTGTGCCGTTGGCATATGCAGTGTGCCCATTGCTATGGAGCATGCCGGGGTCGAAACTCATCTAGGAAAGAAGAGAAGCCAGTGTTAAAATGCACCCAAAGAGTGGATCAACATGAAGCAGACAGAATAGGAAAAATTAAAAGGGTAGCCACAGTTCAATGCAGTGTCTGATGGCAGCCTTTATTTAAAAATAAATACATTCATGCAGGTACAGCACACTTCAGAGGAGGAAAACAGGCAGAGGTGTGAAGCTCCATTAGTGTGTTCTGGGGCTATCAGAGGGGAATGCACATTGAATATGCCTTGATAGAATTTTATTTATACCACTGACTGGAAACATGAACACAACACTTTCTGGCTTTCTTACTGTCATGCACTAAAAGCTACAATTTGTCAAGTGATTTAGGCCGAAATGTTGTAGAAACTTAATGCGTATCTGGTTAACCATGCTCAAACTGTTCACCTCCATGTACCTATCAGTGATTACACTAATACCAGAAAAGCCCGTTTAACAAAATCTGCTGCTAAACATATTTTTGACAACTACAAACCGTGCTGTTAGCAAAAATCACAACAACTGCAGCTCACAGGGCTAGTGAGTGAGTATGGGCACCACTGAACATGCCCCCTTACTGATCTCTGATACAAGGGAGTTCGCCTGTGTTTTCTATTTCCTGGGTGGGGACGACAAGAAACTGAGGAGGATCGGGGGATAGGCATAGGACCAGTAGAAGTGGATGGGGCAGAGCCAGTGTTGCGAGCCACTGGAGGTTCTGAAGAGCCTCTTTCCATTTCTGACACTGGGGACAGGACTTGGTTATGCTGTCGGGAGGAGGCAACAGTATTTACAAGGAGTGTAGTCATAGCATTTGTTCCTTAAATAACCCTTATCCAAATTTTACAAGTTGGCAAGGTTATTACAAAACCAGTTTTCCCATTACTGAGGTATAAAATACTTGATCATTCAACTGACCTTGTTAACAACTTATGATACAATGCCCATGCACCAATTTTGGGGGGCCTCACCATATGCACATATCACAGCAATATACTACAAATAAGAATAGCTCTACAGAGACTTAAACTGAAAAGATGAACCAGTCTGTATAACCAGTTAAGGTGAAGAGGTTTATGTGAAGAGCTGCATGTTACCTAAGGAAGAGTAAAACAGCACAAAAAAAACAAAAAAACCAAGCAGAAAACACAAAAGACAGGGCCAAATAGACGTGCGTCTACAGTGAACAGACTTGGTGATGGGTTATGGATTATGAAGGGATCCCAGAGCAGCCTCTTCTGTCAGGTCCTGTACTGCGCTGCCAAAATGAGCGACCCTTAACACAAGACGTAACAAAAATAAAGTCTTTTACCATTTAAGATTATTTAAGTCAGGACTTTAAAAACCTGAGAACACAGGCTACATGATCAGGCATGCATTTGGTCTGGTTGTTCGCACAGTTATTAGTCATATTTCTATAAAAAGGTTTCATGCTGATGTCCAAGTACTTTAAATACTACTGCAAGTAAATAATCAGTGCTTCCTGGTTATGTGGTTTAGTGCTGACTTGAGTCGTATACCAGCATGAATGTAGCCCGGCATGTTTTGCCCTTGTCATGGCTGAACTACACTTTTATTGCACTGCGACACCAAAGGAAGACTAGCGGACTTGTAAAAAGATCCAAATTTCTGGAATCTAATTAGCAGAACACCCCTCACCCTGCAATGATATGAGTAGAGGCTAGTCTCGGGAACCCGAAGAGGATGAAAGAGGTTAGGCCATTCACAGCAGAGAGATGCAGGGCAAGGTGGGTGGATGGGTGTTCAATGGGGTGGGGCACGTAGAAAAGAGGCAGGAGGGTGAAACTTACAGATCGACCATATGGCGACAGGCTGAGTCCGACAGGGGAGGTGCTGCTCAGGTCAGCGCTAACAAACGCGGTGGGTGGCGACGCAGGCAAGGTAAACTCAACAAAGCCTTTCCAGGGGCTGCCCATATTTTCCCATAAACTCGGACCAAACTTGCTTGAGCACTTGCTGAACTTGATTATTTGTTTAAATTTTTTGCTTGACTGTTAAGTACTATTTTTATGAAACCACCCAATGACACACCGCTGGATGTCTGCAAGGGTGAAGAAAGGAACAAACATAACGGGTAAGGCAGACAGGTCAGCCAGTGTGCTAAGTGTCACAAACAAAGGAAAACAGCTGTGGGCTTCTATCTCCAGGGAGGGGCTTGAAAAGTCCAACATCAGGAAGGATACGACTTGAAAACGACAGAACAGCAAAAGGTGTGAGCTGGGTGTGGGAAGGCAACCAAATCATTCACCAACTAAACTAAATAATGAGTTCAACTGTTTGGAAGTAGCATCAGTTTAGTTTAGTTGACTTATGGAAAGTTATCTTTAGCAAATGACAATGTAGAAGTCAATAACATAGAACTGTCTTCAACTCCATATCACTTATCACACTAGTTCCACATTACGTGTGCTTTTGAGCCCAAGCAGCACAATGTGCAAAAATATTCCAAGAGGCAAAAATAAATAATAAAATTAAAAAAATTCTGACCAAGCAATGCAGCAGTGGCTTTTCACTAACATGGACAGATGTGTTCAGTGTAGGGCTGGATATAATTCCAAAATTTGATACCAAGTCCTAAACAATATTTTTGTAGATACAATTTTATAAAAATCAGTTTTAACAAATCATACATACATACATACATAAAAACATTTTGGTACAGATCAGTTTCATTTTTCAATTCCTTGGCATATTTGTGCACTCAAAGCAGTTTCACAATCTAAAATGCAAACCTATTTACCACAACCTTAAGTTCTGTTATCAATCAATTAAAAAGAAAAGCATTTTTCAATACTTGATGGCATTGAAGTAATTTGATCAATGCCATAAAAGTTTGATAACCAGCACTAGTTCAGGGATTAAAAAGAAAGCAACCTCTGCGTTGCTGCCCAAAAATAAGAGGCCAAACTGAACTGCTCCACAATCTGTTTGCTCATATGCATAATCAGGTAGTGTGTACAAACAGAATTTACCAATTTCCAACTTGAGTTGTGGTATCAAACTTTTAAAAATCTGATTTCTCCAACCCTGTACAGGACAAAAAAAAAATATTCAGAATAAACTGGGGAAGCAGTTCTTCAGAACCTGATAAATCAAACTGTTACTCAATTAAGTACAGTTGACATTCACACAACAGGCCTCGTGTTATTAAAGGAATTCCAGTGAGACCCACCTTTTATTCGATGTCTTGAATCTTGCTAATTCTCTGGATCTCTGACTGCAGCTCCTGCAGATCACTTCATGCACACAGCCGAACACACACACTTGTTACAGGTTTCTGGCACACGTTCTAGATGGTTGCATAAAGCAAAAAGGGGGGAGAAATCTAGAGCAAAAAAGGCAAACAGGTGCAATAACACTGCTTAGAAAAAAATTACAATGAATACAGTGGAAGGAGAGGAAGGAAAGATGGGGGAACCAAGGGGGAAAAAAAACCCAACTAGCAGATAGCAGCCCACACCACACCCCAGTGGTGAGTTGGTGGTGTGGTGAGGATGAGGAGGGCTAGGAGCAGCGTTGGGACGTGTGCTTTGTCAAAGCTGTTGAGTAGGCACAAACTTCTGGTTTCAGATCAGTTATTGACTTCTCAAAATATGCTGGGGCATAGGTTTGCTTCTCTTCCGTGTTTCAGTTGGGCTGACGTGTCTTCTTTGGTCATTTCAGGATTTGGTTACTTCTTGTCTTCTAAACCCTTGAAGTGATCCTCTTATTTTTACACATCTTCAGTGTTTCCACGTTGCTTGTTTTGGAAGGCTGATCTTGAGTTTCTTTGCTATGATCTGAACTTGAAGCAGTTGCGGATGGTACACAAATTCTGTTCTGTTTCACTTCATACTGTTGGGGGGGGAAAGAAAAAACAAAGATTTGGTTGATCACCTTGACCTCACTTTACGATGACTAACAATCTCAGATAAAAATTTTAGTGATAACAAACAAAAGACTGAAGAGTCTGTAGTGAGACAAATTCAATTACAATGTCAACTAATACAAATGTCTTATTTTGTTACACAAATGTTATCTGAATACTTTTGGTAACACTTGGTTTTCCTCACATGCCTCTGGATACAGCCATAATGTCAGGCAGCTGACTAGCAGACAAGCACTGCAGATCAACAAGTCCTTGTGCATACCTTCAGCTCAGGCAATGTTATTTATGGCACAATGTCTGACCAGGGCCCCTGGTTTTGTTATTCAACCCACAACTATTCTGCACACATACTTACACATTTTAGTGTGCAGGTGAGACCCCACCTAGCAACCGAGATGAATAATGTAAGTACTGTATACATTTAATCTCAGGAACTGATCTCCATCAGTAGGTTTGAGCACTTTGTTGCTGACCTAAATACACTGCTTCGAAAACAACCTGGGTGAGCCAACCTTAGGGCACGTTATGTATTCTGCTGTGACTGGGTTGCAATGAGTCCCTTCTCACTGCTTCCTGTAAGGTTAAAATAATGAAATACAGGTGCAAATAATCCCTCAAAATGGAAAGATTTTTTAAAAATGTATAATTAAATGTCAATCCAGAACAAGAACAGCGAGATAAATACTAAACCCCCAAGAACTAAAACTGTACATCCTCATGGCAGTACAAACACCATGTTATCACTACCCTGACTGGATAAGTATGTCAGAGGTTATGAGCTACAAACAAACAAACAAACTACTCATAAGAAAAACCTTGGAGACGATGGGCTCATCTTCCCCTTTTTCAGCCTTGGGTGACACACAGAGGGAAAGAAGTCCACTTCCTAAAGCACTAACACCAATGGGTGTTTCAGTACTTTTTTTTTAAACGAGGACAAGTCGATACAATCAAAAAACTAGGAACGACACAGACTGGCCCAGTCACAACAGAATATTTAATAAACCCACAATGAGGTCTCTACCCTAGAGTGTGAATACCCGAACCGAGCTCAACCCGTCGTCTAGCCAAGAGTTCGGTCAGAAATTTAGAGAGTACATTCGGGTCCTGACTCGTAGGCCAAACTTCAGGCTAGACGGCTGTAGGAGTCAATTTCGTTAATGATGTGGAGTAATAAAAAAAACAAAAACATAAAAAAAACGTGCAAACTCAACCGAGTTCGGATCGGACATTATACACCATTAACATGTCGGGTCTAGGTCGGACGCCACACTCCCGGGAACGGGTCCGGTTCGGGCAGAAAAACGCGGCCCTAGCCATGCCATCTATTCTCTTTGGTTTTAGATTTTAACACGATGGTGCTACCCTGGTCGGGGCCCAAACAACAACCCACCCCCCTGACAGGACCAACCATGTGACTTCCAGCAATCCGGCCATCCTCAGCTGCAACTGCTAATATGGCCTGGGCCATCACGTTGCGGCATGCAACGCTATTGACAACACCACACCTACGCTAGCCAATTCATTTCTAACATGTCAAACTCTAAAATTTGTCTAGACAACCGTACATGGGTTGCGTTTCGCTGTTTTACAGTGTGTTCATACGGATAACGCACACAGTAACAGTTAAGTCAAAACCTAATCGACTTAATGACCTTGTGTGGTCAAACCGAGCCGGCAGATTAGCATCTCGCTAACGCTTAAGACAAACAACCAGTGGTCTCGGTTGTTTCCTACTCTTTAGAATTGAACTCAATTCACTGCGACAGCGTTTGTAACGTATGCCACCGGTTAGCTCAAATAGTCTGCACATCAGGCGTTTGAAGTTATTTATCACAGGAAGAGTGATGAGGAAAGTATGCAGGGAAAGTAAGCACGCAGTGTACACTGAGAAAAGCATACCAAGTTCCATCAGAAAAACTGCTTTCTTAATGTTTCCGGGTTTATTATAAAACATATAAATTTGGTAGAAGCTTATTACAAACAGGCTGGGCATCCTGAAAAATTCGGCAGCCACGTCACAAATCATCACTGCATTTTATTAAAATATTTTATAGAGCTGGGTCGCGCTGTTCGCTTGCCTTGTACACTGGGTAGGGTGACAAGGCGTTAAACTGGACAGAAGCAGAGTTTGTAAGAGTCGAAACCAAAGTGATTGCTGACAAAAACACCCATTTTTAGCCATTAGTTATTTTTAATACCACACCTGTACACTGGCAGATCATCAAGGTCAAAATGAATTGTCAATACCAAGTCTGTTTTTTTTCTGAAAGATTCGGCTGCCCGAGCTAACAGCACGAGGACGGGACAACAAAGAAGCTAACGCTAACCGTTGTGCGCTACAAGCGTTCAGGGGCTTGTAAGTTAGTCTGTTCTACCAATTATCGCCTCTCTCGCCAAAGTTTAACACAATTTTCGCACAACCGCTGTCTTTCTGGTACATCGGGGCACATTTTATAGATATACAGTATATCGTTTACACAACAATTTAGCTGGGCCGCTCACACTATACTAAGTCGCTAATAACGGCTACAGTTAGCTATAGCATACTGCTGAACTGCTTGGTTCTTGTGTGGTGATTTATGGCGAGGAAAAACACGGCTGCCCCCACCCAGGCCCGAGCTCTGCGTATGACTAAGGCTGGATAAACTCTTCACTTCTAACGACCAACTGAATAAGAAAGAGAAACTGTCTTACTAACAAATTACTAAATAAATGTTTGAATTATTATACGAAAAAAAGAAAATTAATAAAAACTTACCCCAACAGCTTTCAGCACTGTCACCAGCGCCGCTAGAAGCAGCACGGCACATTACGTAGTGATTTGTGAGGTAGCTACCGCGATATTTGACATTAACCAAAGAGTCTAAAGGGAAGAGTGGCTACGGCGGCGCAGTTGCTATCGCAATGATTCATGGGGGATTTAGCGTAGTGACCTCAAATTAATTCCCTGACAGTAACTATTCTCCGACTGCAGTAGAGTTTCTGTGGTTACACGTTGCAGGTTTGGGGAAGGTTATATTCAAGAATGAAAGCCATTGTTGGATAAATGTTATTTGAGGCCTTCAAGCTTTTAAGTAATACTGTACGCTATATATGCATATTAAGTGTGTGCTGTTGTGAGATGGAAGGTGAGATGGGTGTCCTGCATAGTCCTGATCATATGCAGTGCTTTCAATGAGCAATGAGATTAATAATATATCACTAGAGAGTCTTTTGGGCAGCAATTGTAAGACAGCATATAGAGTTATTATTAGTTATTTGGCAGATATAGGTATTTTGGATAGGATTTAGTAGTTTATGCAGTTCTAAGAACTTTTTTTTTTTTAATACTGTATATTCTTTCGCCTCCATTATCGTTCCAACCCAGCAGGTGGCGGTATTGCACCTTAGGTTGGCTTACAAACCGCCAATAAACACCATAAGAAGAAGAAGAAATGACGTTTCGTTTAGCTCCACACGGAAACGACAGCTTTGACAACAAAATAGAGTGATCTTTGTCTAAAATTTGTACTTGTTTACTTTGTCTATCGATAACTATTTTTCAAAGTCCGAAATACTATGCACGCGTTGATATAAAGGCTTTGGAGCTGCCTCGTTTAGATAACCGGCAAAGCTAACACTGAAAGGTGTTTTTCACCTGGCTGGTCGTGTGAAGTAGCTCGTTAACGTTGTCAGTTCCAGGTAAATGGCCTGCACTTTAGAAAAAGTGTTGGCCGATGCTCGGACCCTTCTCGAGAGGCTGAAAGAGCACGACACGGCCGCCGAGGGGCTGATAGAGCAGTCCGGGGCCCTCAATCAGAGCGTGCAGAGCATGAGAGAGGTGGGAAATGCCTTTCCTGACAAGGTAAGGGCAACAATCTGAACAGGGTTATAATCACAGTCCGTTTAAGTACATGAGTATTTAATACTGTACTCCACGCTGGCATTCCTATAACAGGCCTTCGTTGAGGTTATTCCCTTAATTCTGAAAAAGTAACTCAAACTAAATTCGTTGCTCTGTAGCATTTCAATAATCACCTAGTTTATATTTTAGTTCTGAGATCACACATCAAGAAACCCCTTTTATAAAAATATCAGGCAGCAATTTATTACTAATGAAACAAGTGTAACACAAGTATTCCACCTATGAGGTTGGGAGTTAAATGAATGTTCTTATGCATTTTAATGTGGTTTTGAAGTTGATATAACTTCCTAAATCATGGTTGATTTGCTATTAAAACAGAGAAAGAAATCTTTTTATTCCTTTTTCTTTAAATCCCACTGACCTTTACTGCTTTTTCAGCACACAGAAGACACTTCAGAGATTCAGGAGTTGACCAAATACAAGCCTCATGTCCTTCTGACTCAGGAAAACACTCAAATTAAGGAGCTACAGCAGGAGAACAAAGGTAAACTTTCCGTTCTGTCCTGCTGATGTATGGCTGGTGTTTTATGTTTTTGCAAACCCTCTTCGTGGCTGTCTTTGCAGAGCTATGGTTGTCTCTTGAAGAACACCAGTATGCACTAGAGTTGATCATGGGTCGATATCGCAAGCAGATGCTTCAACTGATGATGGCAAATGAGGAGCTGGACACCAAACCTGTGCTCAGCCTCCATGAAGACCATGCTAAAGTACACAGGTTTTCTTCACATCTTTAAAATGCTCAGTCATTCACAGGATAGGATTACGCAGTGTTAGATGCATGTATGTCTTGATTTCTGATTTTCCAGGAAGTGCAGAGCCAGTTGAAGAGAATATGCGAGATGGGCCAGGTGATGAGAAGAGCAGTGCAGGTAGATGATCAGCATTACTGCACTGTACGAGAGAGGCTGGCTCAGCTAGAGGTGGGCACATGCTTTCATTCACCTAAACAATAAAAACATAATACTTTATCACTCACCTCTAGTGACAGAAATATAGTATATGTGCATTTTGATTTTGGATCAACTAGCCCTTTAACTCTCAAATTTACACATGAGCACTACTGTCCTTAAATGTCTTGTTATTCTGTCATTTTCAGATTGAGAACAAGGAGCTGCGAGACCTCCTGGCCATCAGCAAGGGCACTGTGAAGACAGTGAGAGAAGAAATCAAGCAGCCAGTAACAGCAGCACAAGAATAATCCCCTCAACCAAGGTCCAAATGAGTTCTCAGACTTGCTTCAGTGTGAACTGTGATCGGAGAAGCAAGTCAAAAACAAGGATCAGGAGATGGGGTCGATGAGCTCTTCACCTGTGTTCACCATGTTATTTTTTTATATAAGATGGAATGCAGTCAACATATGTTTTGTAGCAAAGGCCACTTAAACAAAACATCATGGCTGCCAGATGTATTTATGTATCTGTGGGTAAATTTAGACGGTAGCTGTTTTGAGCTTTCATATTTACAGTATTATCACTGCAGTTGTGTTGTAGAGAATTACACGTACACCATGACTTTTAATGAAGTGTCTAGGCAAACAATGATAAGAATTCAGTGGGAGCTAAGGCACGCACGTGTACTGGTATAAAAGCAGTATAAGCCAAGGGGATTTATTTTGTTTCTGCCCAAAGATACAGTGGCTTTTCAAGGACACCATTTCTACCTCTTTGGTGCCCCTTTGATGAATACGCACCATCGCAATGTGGCAAATGCTCATAACCACCTCTGCTATGTGTACACTTGAAGTCCATTAAGAAACCAACCATGTTAAGAAGCTGTGCTTGTCAATCACTCTGCCAGCGTGATGAGTTTTGGCTGTTTCACACAGTTTTTCTGCTGAGGAGTGACAGTGGATCAGTTCTATGCGACTGTCTTATTATTTTATGAATTGTATACATTTGCCAGTCTGTTTGTAGAGTTCATATATGACATGATTTCCTTGTTTAGTACTTTGATTCTGCGTGTTTAACACCAGTTTTCTAAACAGATTAATCAGGTGTCCCAGCTGTTGACACATCTTTGTTTAATGGTAACACTTTCAAAATATGCCAAATCTTTGTGTAATAGATATAAAGTCCGTATTGTATGTTCTCATACATTGTATTTTGTCATCTCAGGAAATCAGTGTTAATAAACATGCTATAATGACTGCAAGGAGGTGTACTGATTTGTGTCAAAATTTCTTTGAGACTTTAAAATAATTATGCAAGAAATTTAATTAAACTGCATAACACATGTACATTAAGTTGGCTATTTATTAGGTACACCTGGCTAACATTAATGCAGTCTGATGCAAAAAATAATGTAATCAATTCTCCTTTCTTTAAGGTTATAATGTCCAGTTTTTGCTCTAGGTCTAGGAAGATGTTGGGTCAACAGTTTGCCTGTATTATACACAGGCGTTTCTGTTATTTAGCCTACAATCATTGCTATCAGTGGGGTGGACCAAATTATAGAAACACCTGTCAGTATAACAGCACCACAAACTACAAAACTAGCGGAGTGACCTCAATTGAATTACTACAAACTACAAAACTGATGAAGGGTGATTTAATTCAGGAATGTTGTATTAGACTGCATTACTTTTAACTAGGTGTATCTAATTAACTACCACTTGAATGCATAATGACTACGGAGATGAAATAGTTTTTAGGCTATACCATAGTTTTCCGCATGATGGCGACATTAATAGTTTTTTTTTTTTGCTTCAAGTCGTATTAATTGCATATTTCCGACGCCACGTGAACACAGCACCAGAGCTACATTTGACACTTCTAACCTGATACTAGCTAATGCTAATATTCAGCATGTCTGAGAAGGAGCTTGGGAGAAAGTGGGACCGATGCCTGGCAGATGGTGCTATTAAACTCGGTAAATATCCCAAAGTTTTTCGCATGAGGACATCGTAAGAAAGAGGACAAAACAAGCAGGAAATTGACTGTAGTCCATAGCTGTCATTGACTGGGCGAGAGGCTAACTAGCTAAAGGACAACTAAATGGCTAATCATATTACATATGACATTTATTCTCATAGGTAAAATTAAGAGTTAATTCTCTTGTTTCATTAAACAATGCAACCCTGGGTGCGTTGGCACTTATGTCACTCATAAATACTTGCATTTTCCTTAGTGTTTGTTATTAGGAAGAACCTAAATGAAGTGGAAACGCGATTCACAGTTACAACTCCACGATATTCCAGAACTAATATAGCTAAATAGAAATTGTGGCAGGACGAAGGAAAGTGTCTTGAAATACTGCTATTGGTATTATAGCTCAGTAAGTCCTGCAAAATAGCAAAAAGCCTTAGCCCACTTATGTAAGTTACGGCTACCAGGCCACGGCCAAAAATGTCAGATGTTTGAAGTGACTTTGGTTCGTTGTCATTGATACAACAGCTAACTGGTACACGTTAATTTAAGAGTAGGTACCGGTGTTCTTTGAAATGGTTAGAGGAAATATCACCTAATTATTTACCGGTTTCATCGAAAATGATGGGGAAAATACTTTAGTTTCCTAACACCTTGCTTATGAATGAGAGAGTGTTGTGCATTACAAAGCAATAAGAGGTTGCACCTTGGCTACATGACAAATATTGACTACATTATATGAATGTGCATAAACAAGACAGTATGAAACAGCACATGTGCACTGTAAAGAAAGATGTACCTTTTATTAATGAAAGATGACATTTAAACTTGTCATTTCCCATCTTTTTCAGGCACTGGACTAGGGTTAGGAGTCGTGTTTTCTGTTCTGTTCTTCAAACGTAAGTAGTTTAAATGGAGAGGTTGTTGTAGAGGTTCTTGACCAGAGGAGCAGAGCTAGGAGTAGTTTTCTGTAGCCACCACAGAACATACAGTACAAGTGGTAATCTGCTGCTTTTTTCTTTTTACAGTCTTTGGGGTGTTGCTTTTTTTTTTACTTTTCTACTTGAACATTAATTTATAATTGAGAGTATTTGGTGACACTCATCTTCAAAAACACAAAAAATAGTGTATTAAAGTTAAATACAGAAAAAAAATTGGATAGTGAAAAGGATTTCAAAGAGCATATCTGGTATGTTTTCAATCACAGTGTGAAGCACTTCTCTGTATACTTCAGGCATGAAAATAGATAAAGTGCCAGTTTCATTTGTAGGGCGCACATGGCCAATTTCATTGGGCTCAGGAGCAGGACTTGGCATGGCATACGCCAACTGCCAGAATGACTTGAGGTCACATTATCTGCTGCACAAGAGCAAAAAGGTTGGTGTGAGCATCAAAGCACATATGGACCTTAACTTAGCATCATTGTTTATGTAAATCAGAATTTAACTGATTTCTATTTTCTCTAATAGGAGCAGTAGCTGGAAGTCATCACAGGACTGTCTTTTTTTTTATTTGTTCTTTTGTTTGTTTGTTTGTTTGATGTGTCTGTGGGAAAGTCAGCTTTTGCGCCGATCTACAGTTGGGCTCTTGTATCCAATGAACAAGCCTTCCCTGGTATGGCTGATTTGCATGTGCCTAACCAGGACAGTCTGTGTTTATTTAATAAAATAATCACAACAACAAAAATGATTCCCTGGTGATTAATTTTTCCTTTATAATGGATTTTTTTTTTATCATACAGGATTAGTAGAAAAGTGTTATAATTTCATAGATTTCAAACAGTAATGGTGCTACTTGAAAGAGTAATAGAAGTCAGTTGTTAATGCAGCTTTAGAAAGGTGCGTTTTCAGTTTATTTCTGAATGTGTGGGAGTGATTTTTCAGAGAAGTGTCAAGGAGGAAGGTGGGGGTAGTGAGCAGTGGTAAGCGCTGTCCCATAAGGTGGTGGGCTTAGTGTGGGTGACAAGGGGTCAGGAGGTTGGCAGCCGCTGATCTGATGTGCCAAATGACTGGAGTGTAGCGATGGAGGCGATTAGACATGAGGGTGCATTAACACTGAGAGCAATGAATATTATGCATATTTGACAAGGCGATTGAAACGGTGGAGTGTGCTGGAGTTTTCCCCATACTATTGTGTTAAGTGCCCCTGTTGAGAAGTGAATAATTACAGTACGAACATAGTGAAATTAGAACTGAGAATGTAAATTTATCACTTAAAAATTCCATTAACTTTAACCCTTATCTTCACATAAAATTCACGTCTGTAAATCATCATGACTGGCGCGGATAAGGTCCACAGAATTAGTATGGAGATCACATGCGTAATCAAGGTGTGACAAGTAATTTGAGGTGAAAAACACCCTTATCTGCAGGGGCCAGCAGCTGTCTTTAACTACACTTTAAACTCACTTTTTTAGTTCTACTCATAGCAGTATAACTAAATGCAGTGAAAGTCTCTTTTAAATCAATGTTTACAGAAAAAGCAGTAACATCAAATCTTTATTTTGCATTACAAAACTGCTGCTAGTTGCACTTCAGTAGTTAAACACACTATGACCAAACATGGGAAAGGACCACCCACACCAGTTTTTGTGATGTAGAATTAGCATTTCTTGGCTGTAATTGTGCATGGTTTTGCATTAACAGCTTTGACACTCTCCTTCTCAGTAGGTGTGCGCTCAGGCTGGGAAGCGCGCTAGAGTGGCCGACAGAGGGATTAACAGGAGCGAGGGACATAAAGGCTGCATTAACGACTATCATACCTGTAGGGCACTTACGAACAGAATCTCGCTTATAAATGACTGCTGCTCTATTTTGCGTTGGTTTCTTCTTCCCCATGCTGTTTCCCATAATAAAAGGACTTGTGAAAGGCAGCAGAGCTCCAGCTCAGCAAAGGATGTACGAAAGCTGTACAATGCCACTTCTGTGGAGCGAGGTGTAATTGTGAGAACTGGTCATTGATCTCTTCGTCTTCAGTGGTTCCTCTCACCAGCACTGCTGTCGTCAAGGTTCATCTCTCTGCATGCCCTCCTCCAGTGATTGTCATCATTGTGACATGCTGCTTCAAAACCCTGGAATGGCTTATTCTGGCTCTTAGCTGTGGATCAGGTATGGGCATACTGGTGAGAATAGAGAGATGAGTATTGGTGATGGTGATTCTGATTATTATATTAGTGGCAGTGGAAGAAAACCCAGGGCACCTGGATGTATTCCTGCCAAAGGGAAATGGAGATATAACAGTCCGATTAATCTTGGCACGGGGAGGGTTGGATGGCTTCTCAGCTCAAGACCTCCGTGGCTTCTTCTTGTTGAAATGCATTCCTGAAGTGAGAACTTTGACTGGGAAGGAGAACTGGTTAAAGTCTGTACCATTTAGTGGTGCCTGAAGAGGAACCTAAGGAGCTGGTTTGTTGATTTTTGGGAGCAGGCACCATGGCTGACTCTCACTTGTCTGGTTTAGTTGGAAACTACAACAGCAGTTCTTCTACCACTAGTGCTTGGAACATCACTGGCAGCGGCCCCTGGTTGTTGGCCTTCATGCTGACTGTCATCATCCTCATGACAACCTGTGGCAATATGTTGCTTATAGCGTTGGTGTTTGCCCATCGCTCCTTGCGTTGCACTTCAAACTGCTTCTTGGTGTCTTTGTTCCTGTCTGACCTAATGGTGGCACTCGTGGTCATGCCTCCGGCCATGCTCAATGTGCTGTGTGGGAACTGGGTGTTGTGGCCTGCCTTCTGCCCAATTTGGCTTTGCTTTGATGTGATGTGCTGCAGCGCATCTATCCTCAACCTGTGTGCAATCAGCCTGGACCGCTACCTTTTCATCATCTCACCACTGCGCTACAAGCAGAGGATGACCCCACCTCGTGCATTACTTCTTGTAGGAGCTGCTTGGGGGTTGGCAGCACTCGCTTCCTTCCTGCCCATTGAGATGAAATGGCACAGCTTAGGCCATGGGAGTGGACACCCATCAATTCCTGGGGTCACCAGTAGCAACATCAGTTCCTACTCTGAAACACTGTACTCAGCATCCTACTTTCAGCTGTCATCATCAGGAGGCCTTTCATTCCAGTGCCGCCTGCAGGTCACCCTGCCCTTTGCTCTGGTGGCATCTGTACTCACTTTCTTTTTGCCCTCTAGTGCAATTTGCTTCACTTACTGCCGGATCCTCCTGGCAGCACGGAGGCAGGCGAAGAGGGTTGCAGCACTGAGCCACCCACCGCACCCACATCCCTCTCTCGGGGAACCTTCCCAGCCTCCCTCACCTGGGATGGCAGCAGTACAAGCTCAGCAGGACAGAGATGACTGCAGGTACCAGGAGCCTCCTGTGTCACAAAATGTACTGGTAAGAAAGAGCTCACAATGTGAAACAGGCCACTTAGTGCAGATATATACTTCAGGATTCTCAGTGTATGACTGTTGATCAAATCATTAAGTAAAACACTAGGCAATTTCTAAGCAATCCCTGACAAAAATCAGCAGTGATACTAAAATAGTAGACTGACCTTTAGGTGCAGATTTTAATGTGAGTAAAAGGTTGATTCTATGAATGTAAAAAGTAACAAAGAAAACACTGAAATAGTTCTCGTTTGTTTTTTCCTTGACATTTTTAAGGTTGTACATAATATTGTTAATTCCTGTTTTGTTAATTCTTGTGCCCTTCCTTTAAAATTGCAATAATACTGTTGAAATCCCACTCTTAAGTGCAGCAATTATAAAAAAAATAATGAGCTGATTATTTGTATGATTATGTGTGCTTCAGAATTTTAAAAAAGCCTTCAAAAAACACTGAGTGTTCTGTGGTAGCCCAATTTATATATCATATCTACTTACACTTTTTGCATGACTGTCCTGATGGCCTGTTGAGTTAATAAGTGTACTGTATCTGGGATGAATGATTTGGAAAACTACATTATGGTTATGTGGGTGGGAAGCACTGGGACATTATTGTCCACCAGTAAACTAAAAGGAATTTTAACTATAGCAAGCAAAAATAAACCAACAGAACAACAACAAAATGCTTTACAAGCTGTTTAGTGGCTGTCTGCAAGGACAGAAAGACAAAGAAGAGACTCAGTAAAAGGGAAGAGGTGCAAAACCTGCCTAGAAATCATAGAGGAAAAAGTACAGAGAGTTTGTCAGAAGTGCTGCCCCCGTCTGCAAGGATCACAGCCACAGTCTGTCACATTTGCCTGCAATAAAACTACACACGCCAGAACAGTCCTTTCTCAAATAGCTAGCTAAAAAATATCTGGTGAATTCCAAACATGTTAAAATCACCATATTCTTCACTATCTCACTGTATCATATATTGTTTGTTAGTTTGTTTCATTGCAGCTACAGTACTGCATACAACATTTACACTGTGTAATATTTCAGTATGACTGTACTGTTCCATCAAATGGAAATATTCTTTATGTATTGTGCATCATTATATATACTGTATATTTTCTCAAGTTTAGTGTTCCTTTGTTTTGCCATAAAATATTGAAGACCTTACAATTTTTAAAGAAAAAGCTTTGAGAATTTGGAGAAATTTTTGTCAAGAGTTAGATGAAATGATCGATACCACTGTGTCTTGTTTTGTTGGTACATAATAATAACAACAATAATAATTATTAGGCTTTATAGGTAAGAAATTATTCCAAAAGATAATTCTTTATTAAAGCAAACATTTCATTTTTACATGTTTATCAGTGAGCATTCAGCTTAGCTAACTGGTGGTTGGGTGTTTAAGTTCTTTTCCTAAAATGATGACCCATTCCTCATCTTGATAAAAACTGGACAGCTTTATTTATCAAATCCATGTCAGAAGGCCCCAAAGACCAGAATAGTTTTTCCAAATGCCATTGTAACAAAGTGTATTTGTAATTCTTATAACTATAATAAATTGTACATCTTTTTGTTGTTCTCTACTGTCCACAGCCATCAGTGAACAGTGAGCGCCATCTGGCTCACAGGCAGGGTCGGAGGGCGCTGAAGGCCAGTCTGACACTAGGAGTCCTCCTGGGACTCTTCTTCAGCGCTTGGCTGCCCTTTTTCATCACCAACATGGCTCAGGTAAGTAAAGGCACCACATACTAACTCTACCACAGATAAGATAGAAATATAGACAAAGAAAATGAAGGCTAAAAAAAGGGTCACCAAACATATTAACGTAGCATTTGACATGTCAAACTAATCTTGGATGTGAGGTGCTGCTGGAAAAGCTTCAGTATATTCAGTTTGCCTTTGCCTGTATGCACATGTAGTGTTTTTTCTTCATTGAGCACATTATGTTGAGCACATAAACAGTGTGAAATAAATGGAAAAGAAAGGGAAAAAAAACACTTAAATAACAATCTATTTTTGTATCGGCCAGCCATGGCGTCAGAGCTTTGCCAAGCTATTCGGTGAGGAAATAGATTGGCATTTCAGCTTCGTGTGGCTGACTCATTCCAAAGCCTAGAAAACAACACATCAAAGTAGCATTTATAATTAGTATTCCTTTTAAGTTGTTGGTTTTGATTTAATTATACTGAGCGTGCACGCTCATTACTCAAGTGAACAAAAAAGGAAGACCATGGAAAACCTCAGCGAGAGGAAATGAATGTCAAAAAACAGCTTAATCTAAATTGGTAATGGCACTTGTCTTGTTTTTCAAGCTTTCAATGATCCAGTCATTTTGATTTCCCATCTGTGCCCTCTCACTTCTCCCCTGCATAACAAAGAGCACAGAGACTTGACTGTGTCTGTGCTCTCCTTCCTTTTCACACTCAATGTGGTGTGTGAAACTCACCCCTCCTTTTTCTCCTATTCCCACCGCCTCCCTGTCTCATCTTCATAGTATTGGAAGCTTTCCTCTAACAGCTGTCTCCTCCTTCACTGTCCCTCTCTAGCCCTGGTGGCTGTGTTCAGTTGCAAATGTATTAGCAAGCTCTATAAAAAATAAGATGTTCTTTAAAAAAAAAAAAAAAGATCCACAGCCTGTGTGACTAGTGGGAAAGAAAATGTGCCTTTTTAAAAACCATTTCAGGACACAGCTTTTTTAAATCTATATGGGGCCACAATACACAGGAAAAAAACTGGAGGATTTTATAATTGTCTCCTGAATGTCACTTTTGGCTTTTTCCCATTAAGGGTCACCACATGTTGACTTTTGGCACGTGTTTTAAGCCAGATGCCCTTCCTGACGCAACCCTGACTCAAACCTGGGCTGCAACGGCGAAGGCGCTGCACCCTAACCACTAGTCTATCAGTGAACGACTTGGGAATTATCTCCTAATTATGAGATCACCATCTCATAATTACAAAATAAAATCTTCCAATATTTTTTTTCTTTAGTCAATGCAATACACTTCTGTATGAACCAAATAAATGTTTTTTGGACTTATTTCTTATTCTATGAATTTCATTTGTTTTTGAAATTGTGCCATTATTTAAAGGTTCCTTGTGGAGGTTTCATTTTAACAAAGCTGTTTTACTTTGTGTGTTTTCCTTGACATGTGTTGTAAGCATTTTCTTCTTCATAATACATTTGCCAAGCAGGTATTTTTCAATATTATATATAGTGAATGTCTGATGTCTGCCATTTTGTTCACCGTCTTCATTCAGGCAGTGTGTGAGTGCGTCCCTCTCGCCCTCTTCGACGCCATTACCTGGCTGGGCTACTGCAACAGCACGATGAACCCCATCATCTATCCGCTGTTCATGAAAGACTTCAAACGAGCTTTGGGGAAGCTCTTGCCTTGTTTCGCGCAGTCACCCAGAAGACCCTCACCAGCGCTTTCCCTCTCACTACGCAACTCAGGAGAGCCTAACATTGCCAGTAACCCCCACTCTTCCCTGGCCTCTGACCACACCCACCCCCCCGCCACGGCCACTGATGCAGTCAATCTGATGGACGCTGAGCAAGCTGGGATTGAGTTGCCTCTGTTTCTGCCCAATCAGGTCGACACCCTGGATTGAAGAGTAATTAAGAATAAAGTCAGCTATTATGTGGAGTCAGGGTTTGGGATGAGTGATTCAAGACATACTGAGACTCATAACAATTCATGATTTACTCTCTGTTAGTTGAGAGGGTTAGGCTGAAGTGAAATAAAAGAAGAATCATATTTCTTAGAAAAATGTCCATGAACGGTCAGTAGGCTCCATCCTTGTTTCTTCTCAATTATGAACAGTGTTTGGAAAATGAATATACTGTATGTTCATCACTAAAACAAAACAGTCAGGGTTAAGATTATTACCAGTTATCAGTGCTAGTGTACAGCGTAAGCGATGTAAACTCTTTCACATCGGTGAAAGTGGAAGAGAGAAAGGAATGGCCTTGAAAAGGCCAGTCACTGAAGTGCCCCCAGCTTTATGGAAATCAAATTACTGTGATAATATCCATAGCAACCAGGCAACAGATGAAAATTAGAAGGACAAACAGAGATATCACCTATTTTGTAGCATCCACTAAAACCTACAAAACACAAGCAATATGTACTGGTATTTCACAGTGAGCTTAGAAAATAAATTACAACTATTTACATTTTGTTAAAATCTAGTCACAGAATTTGAAATGGTCATTGATTTAATATACTTAGTGTTTAAACAAAGCAATTGATTCTGGGGCTTTTCACTTTAATAAGCAGCCATATGTGAGCATTGTCTCTTGAGCTGTCTCTGGCATGTCTGTGTTTGAGAATGGAATGAATATTTTCCTCCAGCTTTGATCCTGAAAAAAACACTTGAGAAGATGAGAGTTTACAAGGAAGCAGCCGGTCCTGTAACATGCTCTTTACAAGTTTGTCCACTTTTGTTTGTGTGTGTGTGTGCTGAAGTCGGGTGCGTATCTGGGGCGGACTCCGCTACGTCATCACACTGCTGGGTGTTAAGAGCAGGTGACAAGTTGTTATTGGTTGCATTCTCCTCAGAGCTAAGTGGCAAACTGTTCCTCACAGTGATTAGATTTTCTGATTCTGTGTCATTCAAAGTGTCCAGCAGTTCTGAAATATCAGGGATATCCCAACCATCACCAATTTCCTCTGTGTCTGCCACCTCTGTCATGTGTCCACTTTCTTCTGTACAAGTCTCAGCTGTTTCATTCTGTGTCTCAGTCACTTGTTGCTCATTGAGGGTTGTGTCAGGGTTGTCCACTGTCCCCTTTGTAACTGTTCCAGACTGACGAAGAGCAAAGGAGGCTCCTGGGACCTCTTTGGTGGGAACTCCTACTGCCACCAAGATGGTGTCCATCTGACGCATGTAGTCCAAGTGACCTTTCACCTGGGAAGCACAAATATGCCTTTAATGTCTGAATAAAACAGGGTTGATATTTGTAAATTAGAGTACAGAATTTTTAAGAAAAGGCTATTATTTTTATTATTTTATGTCAAGTATCTATTTTTAATGTTCAGTTGTGTGAAATGCTAAGTAAAGCTATGATACTTTAACTTGTTCAACAAAACAATGACTATTACAAATACTGTGTTTGTGTTACTGTGGCCCAAGTTTCACGTGGTGGTGGTGGTGGGTGTGTGATTTAAATGCAGGTAGAAAGGCATAGCTGTGAACTAAAACAGACCAGTGGGGGCCTTCATTTAAAAAAAAAAAACATTTTTCTTAACTTTTCATCTTGTTTAAAATGTCTCTTTTAAAGTGCCAATAAAATTCTGTATTTAATAACATTGCATCACAAAAATTGCATCTCATAACATTTAAGTCAGTGATCAACTGTTTCTTAAACTTATTACTAGAATTACTCAAATCCTCCATCAAACTAGGTGTTTGTTTAAAGCAGCACTCACCAATATCAGTTTATATTAACAACAGGTTAAACTACTATGGGGATATTTACTAACCCTATAAAAGTCCCTCACATTCTCCTCTGGTGAGCGATGTGATTTACACACACCCTCTCCCTCCTCAAATGTGTTCTTAACAACGATGAGGTCTCTAGTGACTAACGGCTGCCACACTGAGAGCAGGGCTGCAAGTTTTACACTTGCTTTCTCCTGACCTTAAATTTCAGCCACAGTTCCCTGGGCTGATGCTGTGGTAAATCAGGCGCAGATAGTATCTGTGTAAATTTCCATTTTCTCCTCCCTGAGTGGGAATGCCTTAAAATACATATTGCATGAGACTCAACATGCAAATTCCTGCGGTGCCGCATTGCTTCTGTTTCTCTGATGCAAAAGCCCGCCGACTCCTTACTAAATATGAACACTCACAATTTCATCTGTTTAGTGCCAGAAAATGAGCCGCAAAACCTTAGAAAATATCCCCCACTGTGTAATGTGAAAGGGAGTTAAAGAATTATCACAAGACTGCTGTTCCTTTTAGCATCTTTCAGCTCATTGTTTTGGTTTTATAGCCCACAGCTTTAGTGTCTTGGTTCATTTTCACTACTCTTAAACCTCGTATTTCTAGAAGCAGCAGGCAGCTGTGACAGTGTTCAAGCTCCAGTAAGCCAGTAAGTTACCTGCACAGCATCTGGCAGCTCCTAAAACATGAATACTCATTGAGGAAGGTGTCTGTTCTTTTTAAGGACTGTAATCCAACAAATAAATCCCACGTTGAACACAATCTAAGACTTAAACAGTGTCAAAAACTAAGTTAAATTTAAGCTCTGACTCACCACGGAGGAAAGATCCACATTGATTACACGCCGATCCTGGATATTGATTGGCTGTAGCCCAGCAACAGACAGTTGTGCAGCTGAACTCCGATACAAGAATCCCAGGAGCCAGTCCCCTCTGATATGTGGACAGTTCAGAAAATCATTTAATCGTAAAGCATAAATCCTGTTGTCAATACAATTTGTTTCCAAATTTACTGTAGGTAAAGCAACGGATGCCCACACTGAAAATACTGTATATCATGACCAAACAATATGTATCAAAACTATAAAGCAGCTGTAAGAATTTTATGTAAAAATATAAACATTACTACATAAATATGCAAGGAAAGAGCTCTGCTTTACCTGCAGTATCCATTTACTATTTTTCCAGCCACTACCCTGGCCATTCTCTCCCAGGCCTTTTCTGAGCCGTCCACTGGGGCCCCCAAGAGGACCACATCCTCCACTACTCCTTCACTACCTGAAGAAAACCACACACATTAGAGTAGTTCAGAATGTAGAATGCAAACATTTCTAGAAAATAACAATCTGAATTAGGTTACAGTGTGTTTACTCACGCTATAACCACGTTATTTAGAGCTAACTTAAAAATTCTATTCTGCTTCTTCAAGGACTTAGTAGAAACATTACCTCAGTGGCATAGCCTTCATCCCATAAATGTCTAATACATTACAGGACAGATAAATGGATGTGAGCACTTTGCTAGCCTGTGTATGGATAGTTTTATCCAGTTTCATTTCAATGCATAATCAAAACAAGTTATTTCCGCAAAACAAAACAAAAAAAAATTCATACCTTGGTCACTGGCAAGCTCCTGTAGACAGTAGTAGATAACTCTGGCCCCAAGACTGAAACCTATGAGATTGACAGGGCGTTTCCCCTGTAAAGACAGAACAAAAGAGAAGAGGTGCATAACTCCGGAGTAGTGTTCATCCTCCTATAGACAAATTCTTCTCTCTAAGCATACAGTAATATTTCAGGTCATTAAGTGCTGCATTTATTTTAGCATGTGTTAGAAGAAGTGCAGAAATACGATTGTTGAATTTAATCTAATGCATTTAATAATGGGTATACAAAATATCCAGCTAATCCTTCCAGAATAACAGCTGACACAGTACTGCCACAGACTACAGTGGTGTGCATTAACAGAGGTAGGATGTACAGTAGCACAATACCTGCTGTCTGCTTCTCAAAACCTGTGC